ATCACCATCACGTCAGTTAGGTCGTGGGGGATAATGGAAGGTGTAGCCGGGTGATGTGGCCTCTGTCAGCGGGAAGGTGTGACCTGGAGTGATCCAGGTTTCAGTGAGGGCGAGAATGTTGATGTTTTTGTCGACAATGAGGTTTTGGATGGTGAGTGTTTTATTGAAGACGGAGCGGACATTTTGTAAGATGATGTGGATGGAGTACAAGCAACACCCACAATGGAAGGCAATGAAATCTATTTGAATTGTTACAAAAAAATTTATACTGTGTGTTACACAGTTTGTATCTGTCTCATTTAATCACGACAGTAATCCTTGCATTAAAGCACCTTTAATGTCAAAGCACTTTGCAGTAATTAAAGTGTAGTGACTGTGTACTTGTAGGGGTGAATGTGGAAGCAAATGCACACAGAGAAATGCTCAACAAAAAGGCCAAGAGGTAAAAAGCTAATTTTATCTTGGCGATTGTTAGTCAGGACATGAGAAGAGATTAATAACGCTAATTGACTAATAACTGGGTTCCTACTTACTGCTAGGTGAACAGAGATGTGTGGAGTAAGGAAACTTGCTCAACGTTTCAACCTGCCCGGGAATTGAACCCAGGTCCTCCACTTGCAAGGTGAGTGCTCTAACCACTGAGCTACAGGACCCCACAAATGCAGCTCTAGTTCAGATAAAATATCAGGTCAATTTTTTTAAAACAAATTTGTTAAACACAAGTAAAGTCCCTTTCAATCCTTTCATCACCAAATGTCTGTTAACTGACTCAATCCCCAAACATCACGTCTATAGTGTTTTTTCTTTGAAAAGAATACACTGCCACTAAATGTGTGCAAAACTTGCCTTGTGCCATTTCATGCAAACTGCAAAAATAGGGCAACAGCCACACAAAATCTTCAGATGTAAAAGAAAACGTTCACCATGGCAAATATTTTGGTTTCCAAAACACCCATTTCAGTGATGCTGTTATTTCAGCTGTTGCTACTGTACAGAATATTCTGTTCAAGTCGACATTCAAAGCCTGTTTAGAAAATACTCCATCAATGTGCCGACTAAGGTCAAACTAAATCTGGTTAAAGAATCAAAAAAGGTGGTACAGTGGAGTTCAATCAGGGACAAACCTGACTCAGGCTGAAATTCAGAAAGAACAAAGGGATTTTAGGTACGGTTTTGACATCCTAGGAAGGGATTTCCTGTAGGAATCAAAAGTCTGTAAAAAGAACCAATGTAACTTGGTCCAAAAAATGCACAAAAAGTTTTAATTTTTCATGCATGTTTCATTCTTTTGGAAGCACTGTTACCTGAGGGTCAGAAGGTTGTGAGTTCAAGCCGCACATCGGAACTTTGAACTCATCTGGCACTCTGATGCAGTACGAGTGGGAGCGATACATTGCCAGAGGTGTAATTTCCAATCTAACAACAACAAATTACATTTGTATAGCACCTTTCATGTCGGGAGGATGTCCCAAGGAGCTGAACCGTAAAGAATTTGGACCCAAGCTGGGAGTTGGGATCAGGAGGATTCGAGGACAGAGAGGGTAGGAGTAGGAGGTGACCGAAGGCACGGTCGAAGAGGAGGTACTGGAGGCAGGCCTTGAAGGAGGCGAGGGAGAGAGTGAGGCAAAGGGACTGTGGGATGGAATTCCAAAGGGTGGGGACAGAGAGGCTGAAGGCCCACCCGCTGATGGTGCGGCAGGCCAGGCAGGGGAACTTGGAGCAGGCCACAGCTGGTTGGAGGGAGCGGACAGGTTGATATGGGGTTAGCAAGTCACAGAGATAGGAAGGAGCAATGGAGTCGGGGGAAGGTGGGGGTGATAGGGTCACGGAGCTTGGTGCAGGAGAGGACACGAACTGCAGAGTTCCAGATGATCTGCAGCTTGTGGAGAAAGGAGTTGGGAAGCCCAGCAAGCAGAGAGTTGGGGTAGTCAAGCCTAGATGTAATAAATGTGTGATGAACAACAACAACAAAATTACATTTGTAAAGCGCCTTTTACGTCGGGAGGACATCCCAAGGTTCTGGACAATCAGAGTTTCGAACTTGAGCTGGGGGTTGGGATCGGGGAGGTTGGAGGCCAGGGGGGGAAGCAGCGTGATCGAAAGCACGGTCGAAGAGGAGGGTCTTGAGATGGGTCTTGAAGGAGGCAAGGGAGGGGGGGAGGTGGAGGGACTGCGCGATGGACTTCCAGAGGGTGGGGGCAGAGTGGCAGAAGGCCCATCCACCAATAGTGGGGCGAGCAAGGCAGGGGACCTGAAGCAGGCCGAAGCCTGCTGAGCTGATGGAGTGGGCAGGATGGTAGGGTGTTAGGAGATCACAGAGATAGGGGGGAGCAAGACCATGGAGGGCTTTGAAGCTGAGGACCAGGATCTTGAACTGTATCCTCTGTGTGATGGGAAACCAGTGAAGTTGGGCGAGGTTGGGGGTGATAGGGTCAGAGAGCCTGGTGCGGGACAGGACACGAACTGCAGAGTTCTGGATGATCTGCAGCCTATGGAGGGAGGAGCTAGAGAAGCCAAAAAGCAAGGGGTTTGCATAGTCAAGCCTCAATGTAATGAATGCATGTATGAGGGTTTCGGTGGCCTGCGGTATGAGACAGTGGGAGAGCCAGGCGATGTTGCGGAGTTGGAGGAAGGCAGAGTGGGTCATGGTACGGATATGGGGTAGAAAGGACAGTTGAGGGTCAAACAAGATGCCAAGGTTCTGGACTGGCTTAGTAAGGTGGAGTGAGCAACCATGGATGGTGTTGCTGTCAACGCTTGAGGTGAGGAGCCATTGACAGGAGCTAGTCAGGAGAGCCTCAGTCTTGTTGACGTTATTCTGTAAATGTAGAATAACTCACTTGTTTCGCTTTCTTTGAAAATCCAGATGGTATTCTGTAGTAGCACTACAAACAGCTTCATCAATCGTTGTGGTATTTTACCTTCAAGATGATAATGCTTTAATTTTGATGCTAAGAAAGTTAAAGTGTTTCTTTTGCAAAAACTGAACTGGTGGTTGAGAATCTGACACTAGCACTCCGAGATTTCAGAGTGTAGGTCACTAAATGTCATTCTTTTGATGAGGGGTTTGTCAAGAAGAAGGGGAGAGAGATTTAATCTGTAAATTAAATAATATAATAAAATTAAAAAACTGAAAACCTCTGCAAAATTCTTTCTGACCCAAATAGGCTACAGTTTTTTTTATATAAAGAAAGACACTTGACATTTTATGATTGACACAGATGAACAGCCCAAGAGAAGCCGGTGTAATTTTACTTTGAAAGGTTTGGTGGTTGCACCTTTTTAAAATGAATGAACATAAAATGATGGTTATTAAATCCATTTTGCAAACAAAATGTAGAAACAAACTTACTTTAGAACGTTTTACTGTGACAGACACCATTCACTGGATTATCAGAAAACTGCGATTATAGTAAGACAACAGCATTAAATAAAAACAGATGTTTATTTTTAATAGTTTGGTTGTTCCGTCTCCACTGCCAGAAGGGATAACAGAGTGCCCCATTATCGGCATCTATAAAAGTAAGCATCACTTTTAACTGCACTGAGTAAAGGAGATAGAAACTTGATATTGATACTTCAAAGAGCAGTTGACTTACATTATATAGCAATGACATTGCTTAACCTCAGGTGAAAAAGAATCCCCTTTTCCCCATGTCAATGCAATTTAAAAAGATTCCTGCTGGAGGTTAAAAGGTAATCTTTTGTACATATCTTTCCCAAGGAATGCAATATTCTAAGTCTTTTTTTTTACGGCAACAGAAAAAAATGTAAGCTATTTTATCACAGAGTCAGATTGATCATCTTCAGATATCATATAAAGGGAGCCAAGTGAGTCTTTCAGACTGGGTTGAAAAGAAGCATTCCTCTAGAAAAGCTGAAAAAAGTACTCTGAAATATGAAAGGCATCTGCTGAAGGGACTCCATGTCTCCTACCCAGATCCATTCAACCTCATCTCTGACATCAGATCTCATGGGAGGCAAGTTCTCACAGCCATTGTGATTCACTTCATTGCTGTTTGTAGGACATTGCTATGAACAAATTGGCTGCTATGTTTTTCTATAAATACACAGTTACTACATTTTACAACAATTTCCTGTGAAGGTCTTTGAAATGTTTTGACATTGCACCCGCTATATCAAACACAAGAATTATTATTATGATGACATTTTCACCACTCTACAGCCGGATTAACAGCATTTTCAGATTTCTAAATTACCAATGATTAGTTAAAATGCTTCAGTAGGATAGTGTAGTGTAGCATAGTGTTAAACACTCATCAAGGAAGATTATAGTGCTTTCTATGTTTTTTATTGACACAGGTAAATTTGTGTTTTTCACCATTGACAAAAAATGTGGGTTTGCGCAATGTCGCTACTTTTATTTCAGACGGTTTATTAAACTGGCTTTAGGCCTGTTTGTACCAATCAGTGGCATTTCAGGCCCCAGACGTTTAGTGTTTCAAAAAGCCGCACAGGGCAGAGCCAGCACAGTACACTGGTGTAGAATTAAAATAACCCCCTTGAGTAACAGTATATGCATTTACACAGGTGTTTCCTTTTAGGGATTTATACACTGGAGGAAGTCTATTGGTAGCAATTTCTGACAAGGTAATTTATTTTTTTAAAATTTTTAATGTGTTATACACAATCCAGTTCATTCAATGACTGATAATGCTTTCCAGACAGTTGAGATGCTATGTTCATTACATTAGCCTCAACTAATCAAACTGATCAGTTAAAAATTCTTATTATTCACGATGATTTTAGTAGTGGATGTGAATGCACATTTATTTTTCCAAAGCTGAATTGTAATCATCTTTAAACATTATTCAGATACAAATAGGTATTATATCTGCAAACATTTGTACAGAGTCGGTGGAGGGTGTTGTCTTTAACATGCCTTCTTGCTACTGTTCAATACAAACAAGTTAAAAAAGGTGAATATTAGCATTGTCAGCCTGGCTCTAGATGCTTACCTCTAGGTCAGTAGGTGATGGGTTGAAATCCTACATTCGTATTTTGAACTCACAGTCTCAGCTGACACTCTGCAAAAATATATAATCAATTCACTTTACAGTATATTCTGTGAAGCGCTTTGATACGTCTCGAAGACATGATAAGGCGCTATATCAAATGTAAGGATTATTATAGGTGTTCGTTCTTTGGATAAGACATTAAACCGAGGTCCTGTCTACCTGCTCAGGTGGACATTAAAATCCAATGTCACTTTTCGAAAAGACAAGGGAGTTTCTCGAAGTATCCTGGCTAACAATTCCCTGAAAAATTGGTTCATTCACTTCACGCTATTTGTGGGACATTGCTGTGTGCAAGACACTGCTGTGTGCAAATTGGTTGCTGTGTTTGCCTACAACTACTGTCTTCACACAAAATCTCTTAAAGACCTTTGTGACATCTCAATGACATGATAAGGGGTATACCAAATGCAAAGATTATTATTATTATCGTTGGGAATTTATTATCTGAACCTGGTTGAGTAGGAATTATTGTTCATTCACTGACCATGTTTCTCAAATATGATCAAAATATTAGCACCTGCATCGCCACAGTTGATCAACAGGGCATTGATTATTGACATGCATCGCTAACACTGTAAAGCATCATATAAGGCTTGGTAAGTATGTGCTATAGTGCTATGGAGTGTGGCACTGATCAGAGCTATGAGTGCAGCACAAAGTGTAATCATGTCACATCAAGATTGTATTGCCATGTATTGAATCATTCATTACAGATCAGGATTATTCCCCACAATGGGGGTACATTCGGTATATATCACATTGAATATACAGTACTTACACTTGCTGGGAGTGTGCCATTCGCCCCTAGACTGGTTATAATTACTGGAAGCTGTGGTTGAAGCAGAAAACATCAACATATTTAAGAGGAAACATGATGTTTACTTGAGGGAGAAGGGAAAACAGAGATGTGGGAGAGGAGGGATAGCGGCTCATATAAAGTATAAATACCGGCATGGAATAAATTGGCTGTAAGGTCTGTTTCCATGCTGTAAAGTCTATGTAATTTAAGGTGTAAACAGAAATAATTATTCCGATGTTAATATTTTAGTGGTATGTACCACTGTCAATAAGTGGTTAAAGATTTCAGTTCACTCTGGGCAGAACATTTCAAAGACAAGATTTATGCGTCATTTCAGATGTCTTCAACATATTTATCTACAGATCCTCTATAAGGTTTCCTAATGTGAAGTTACATGATTTATCACAATAGATATTGAAACACTAATGTCAGTATGTTTGTAGCTTAACAGTTTGTTCAGGATGTTAAAATGTAAGAATAACTCTTTTGGAGACCTAAATGCAGTGCTCATTGGTTGATTTTTTAATGTTAACCTTCATGGTAGTTCCAATTAACAGCTAGCAGAATACAAACACAGGACAAAGGAGCTGGTTAAAAATAAATCTGCAAAAACTGATTGAGACATACCCTGATCGTCAGTCAGAATTTCACCTCCTTGTTCCACTTTCACCTCGTGGTTCCAGAGACTCCAAATCTGACTGAAAAGCAGGGTGTGCGCTTTAATATCAAATAATACATTTTTGCTATAGTACCTATAACCTCTCAAAGCACTTCACATGGAATTGCAGCAAATAATAAAAATAACCCATACATTTGACATAGCAACTTTAATGTCAGGAGGACATCTCAAAGAGCTTTACAGGATTTATTGTTACATGAAGTCATTATGTATTTGTAAGCGAACATTTCAGCCAATTTGCTCACAGCTGTGTTCCACAAAAAGGGAATGACCAATTTTATCTGGGGATTGTTGGCCAGGAGAAACTGTTTGCTTTTCAAATAGTGGAATGGGATCTTTAAAGTCCATCTGAAGAAGCAGACGGGACCTTGATCTAGTGTCTCATCCGAAGTACTGCACCTGTAACAATGCTGCGCTTCCCCAGCTTCACTGGAGTATCAGCCTAGACTCGATGTGAGGCTTCAACAGCAACCTTCTCACCCCGAGGTAAGAATTGTATTAAATGAGCCAGTCTGACCTCTGAAGGCCTCAGGTCCCTTTGGAAACTACATGTCTATGGACAACTTGATATATTTGTGTAAGTTTCAAGATTTACAAAGAACATTTACAAAGAATGTACAGCATGGAAACAGGCAGCCGGCCCAACGAATCTGTGCCAGTATTTATACTCCACACCAGTCTCCAACCATTCCTTTACCTTCTATTCCCCTTTCCCTCATGTGAAAGCCTAGCTTCCTCTTGAATGCATCTATATTATCTGATTCAACCACCACTTCAGGCAGAGAGTTCCACAATCTCACTACCCTCTGTGTGAAGTAGTCCGAAAAACCACGATATTCTCAAGAACTCACACCACAATTAAAACAATTTGGAATTTGTCTCCAACAGCTTAACAATGACTGTGGAGGTTGGGACTTGCACCTCTGAAAATCAGCCAACTTTGCCCACTTTACTGTATATATGAAAGACAGAACAAGCATCTTAAAGGATTTATTAGGGTTCTACTCCTTCCTAGATGGTGTATTAATATCCAGAAAAAGATATCCATACCCTATCTCCACACACCTCTACCCCGAAAGTCAGACCTAATCATCTTGAAATTGGCCTCCTTGCTAGTTATCACTTCATCAACTAATTAACCCCTATCCCCCACAACTCAATGAATATGTATAATTTACAACTAACTAATGCATGTGCAAAAATTATCAGTTACCCAAAATGCATTCAAAAATCAAGCTAAATTGCTAACAGCCCATCAATTTGTCGTTGTGAAACACCAAGTCATGGTCTGGAGGATCAGATTATTATGAGGAAAACACATTGTAGAGATCCCGGGATTCCTTAAAATGCCAGCAGCTGGGTGGCCTGTTAATCTATTCTGTTACAGTTTTGTTTCACAGCCAGTACTCACTGTACTGTCCTGGGAATCCATTTTGTTATTGTATACAAGTCAGTTTGCAGCTGAGTGAATAAGCCGCTTCACAACTCCCTTAGCTCCCACTGCTAAAACAGGTTAAACAGACAATTCCAAACTGTCTACAGCTCGAGCTCTTCCTCTCCCTCTGTAGACTGGAGGAAAACGGTCCTTATAAAGCATAAGCTTATTATCTTTCACTTATGATGCGCATAGAGAGCACGGAAGCCAATAATAAAACGTAAATATTGTAAATCTGGCCATTGGCCGAAAGCTCACCTTGTTATCATTGGGCAGGTCAGGTAAGGGGCATGTACCAATACATTCAAATAATATGTAATAAAATATGCATCTGATATAGGGCTTTATCATGTCTAAACATGTCAAAGCATTTCACAGAGTTTTCCGTAAAGTATAATGGTGTCCTAGCTGTCAATTTGTGCCTAGCAATGTCCCACAGACACCCATGAAGTGAATGACCAATTTTATCTGGGAGATTGTTGGCCAATGTGGCGATAATACCTTCTCTTCTCTAACGGTGTTATAGGCTCTTGAAGGCTGTTGGTATTACAGGAGTTGAACCCACAACATTCTGATCGAGAGGCAAGAGTGCTACCAACTGAGCCGGGTATTATAAAACATAGGCACAGTATACACAGTTCCAGTGAGGTACATAGAAACAATTTACAGATTGCGCTAAACAAACAAACAAATAAATAACATTTCAAACTAATTCATTTTTTCAAGGTTTTATTGTCCTACAGAACTCAAGCTTATGTCATCAAGTGTAAGAGTGCACTTTGCTAGTTCTCCTGTTCAATGATGAACTACTAACAACAACAACTTGGAATTATATAGTGACTGGGGTTATTGGGGAGCGGAGTTTGGTGCGGGTAACAATGCGGGCGGCAGAGTTTTGGATGAGGACGTAGACGTATGATGACACTTGATGACACCAGGACGTACACTGAATATTGCCACCACTAAGCAGCTGGGAAGTTATTTTCTTTGTTTCATTAGAAAGGTTCACAAACCGGGCAGGTACAAAAGGAAGAACTCACGCCCAGTGGAAGAGCATGTGGGCCAACAGTTCCCTTATGGTTATAATGACTTTTGTTTGACTGCTTTATACTCCAGATTAATCAGTCATTTGCCTAATTGTATTTTGTGGGCCCTTTCTATGAGCAAAGCATTTTCATGGCCATTTGTGAGACATTATAATTCACAAATTGGCTGCCGCATTCACCTACAAAATACAATATAATTTACACGTGTGTAGTGCCTTTCACCGCAGGAGGACGTCCTTAAGCATTTGCCAGTTTTGGTTGGGCACCGGAGCTGAAGGTGGAAGCTGTAGGGGATGAAGAGGAGAATGACCGAAACACAGTCAAAGTGGTAAGTTTTGACAGGTACTTTAAAAGAGGGGAGGAAGGGAGCAAGTCAGAATAACCCGGAAATGGAGTTCCAGAGAGCAGATAGCAAATGGCTGATAGTCTGCCTGCCAATGGTAAGGCTGACAGAAGGAGGAACATAGAATAGGCTGCTGTCAGCGAACGAAGGGAACGGCCAGGTTAGAATAAAATACAGTCACAAAACTTTATAGAAAATCCTGTGAAGCTCTTTGAGTCAATAATATTCCCTTCATTTGATATAGGTGGTATATAAAATCTAGAGATTATTATTGTTATAGTCGATGCATAAGGCTTTTCCAAAATATGAGTTATTCTTTCTACTTTTCACAACAGAAATGTTATCTATATATTTTTGAACAGACTGGGATGGAATAATTGGGTTCGTACTATATTGGCATTAGACTTTTGCTCTAAATGTGGAATAGTAATCATGGGCAATAAATTGTAGGTACAGCCACTTCCTATGGAAACAACATTCCTATTCCAAACATTTCCTTCATAGCACTCTCTTCCTGGATCATGCAGGAAATGCAGAAATGAACAAGGTCAATGTGAAGTAGCCCCCTTCCCTCCAAACCGCTCTCCATCATTAATTGGGTCCTCAGTTTCTTCAACCAACTTTTACATAAAAGTGCATTCCATATAGTATTCTCTTGTGCAATGATAGTTTTATTTAGCTCAGTGGCTTCACTCAGTCTTTATGGACAGTGTCCTACAAATGTGATCTTTGTTCACTATCAGACTATCACTATGGGAGGGCTGAAGCCTAATGTAGAGCATAAATAATGGCACTGACTAATTGGGTTAAATGGCCTGTTTCCCGGCTGTATGGTCTACTTAATGAGGCCAGGGTGCTGGATTCATTTAAGAAACAGATTGACAGGAAAGCAGTAGGGTGGGTATTCTGGAAGAATAGGGTCAAATGGATGATACTTGCAAAGATTATGTTGGATTATTGGATTTGTTGACAGGTCTCCACACACACAAGGCACAATAAGAATTTCAGAGTTGAGGCAATTGTTTTGTTTTAGCCCAGTGAATGTTTAATTAAATATTAAATGATGGATGCCCTAATATTTCATTCTCAGCGATTTAGGTTTTTCGTGTGATATCAAAATAAAACAATCTCAGTAAAAGTACTTTATCTATTCCCAAATGTTACAAATCCTAATATGAAAGGTTTATTTGATTTGAGAAAATAAAATTAAAATCACTGAATGAATCTGGGTACAACATATGAAACAGGCAGGTTGATGCTTTGATGGGGGGATGTTAGGGTGGGTGCTCTGGATGGATGAAATCAGATGGGCCGAAGGGCCTTCTTCATCCAAATCAATTTAGGCAGGACTGAAATAGGAGATGTATAGAATATGAGACACAGGACAGAACTAAGATAGACACAGGGTGTCATATGCGTGGTGATCTAAGAGATATACAAAGTATGAGAAAGGGGACTCCTAACACAATCATTTAATTGAATATAAACTCGTAAGTTTTTTTTGAAAAAAAGTTAAAAGTTAATTTAGTCACAAATAAAAATAAATCATAATATTAGGTCATCTTTGAGCTGAGCCATAATTTAATACTAAAGGCAACATTTGGCATCATTCACACTGCAGACCCAGGTTCCAGAATGATAGCAGATGGCGGGCTGCATGTAAACTGCACCAAATGACAACACAAAGGGACTATGTAGTGATGGAGTTCAATTAGACTCAAGTTTGCATTTAAACAATAGACTTCCAGTTCAGAGAGAAGGTTACCAAAAACAGTTTACTAATTGCGGTTATTAATGACCTAATACTGTGTGTGAGGATGCCAAATAATATTGTGGATTACTGTATTACATTTTAATTGAGCTCAGTCTATCATCTAATAACACATAATTTAGTTTATGCACACGGTTTGATCCATATTAAAAATAAACGTTCACGGAAATTTTAAGAGACAATCATAAAAGAATGAATCCTGATGCACTACTTTCCCTCTGTTTGCTTCCCTACTTCTTCTTCCTCCAGCCAAAGAACCTAGACTAAGTCACAGACTTCTCCATAATCCTGATTAATGCCAGTCAGCCATCAGACAACAGTAGATATGCTTCTGTGAGAAGGGTGGGGAGTTGGGGAAGAAAACTCATTTCTGCCAACCATTCCTTTCCCCATCACCACTGCAGACATACA